ACACTACACTACACTACACCACACTACACTACACTACACTACACTACACTACACTACACTACACTACACTACACTACACTACACTACACTACACTCGAATTATTTTAGGGCACAATTGCTAGTGAATTCAGCGCAATCTACTTTGCGTGCCGTGGTTTCCGTCTCTGTCTGCTGGGATTTCATAATCAAGTGCGGCGGCTAAATAAACTAAGTGCGTCATATGCAGTCATATCAAAACAGACAAAAAGAATCGCCGCGCAATTATGAAACATGTTTTACTTCGTAATATTTAGTGCTACAATAATATTGTATATTATCATTGAATTGCGCCCTCCCCCCTGTAAATTATTATTATGTATATCTCCTGTGGTGCAATTTGCATAAATTATGCACGGTTCCGGGTTCCGGTTCCAGGTTCCGGTTCCTGTATCGCTGTATCGTTGTATCGCTGTATCGCTTTTTAGTAGTAGCCGGATTAGCGAGACTTTAAGGCATTATAAGCTTGACGACAGTCTGTTGACAGCTCTGTATTTAAAGAGAGAGAATCCGGAATAAAAATAGTGATAAAATAGCAAATTATATCATTTATACGAAAGTCAAATAAAATGTTATGAAACTTCGAATTAGCATAGTACGCATTTATTTAGTGCGCGGTTTTTAATACTGCATGCACATTAAATTTGCGCAATTTGCGTGATACCGTTATTTTTACACGGTATGCATAAAGCGTGCTCTGTAAATACGACACATCTTTATCTGCATTTTGCGCGCTGCAGGGTGCGAAACAACGTATCTCATATTTGTCATATATGTATACTTTAACATTTTTCTCGCTTCAGTGATAGACGTCCAACACGGTCTGCAAACATGGACTTCGCCACAACCTCGTCCAGCCTGCCAGCGAACGCAGCCAGTGGATTGAACGCCACAAGAACGGCCTCGAACGGCTCGACCCTCACCGCTTATGACGGTTACGATGGGGAAAACATCATATCTGCAGTATTTTCATCAATCCTCGCTTCGATCGTTCTCATCGGTAACGGCATGGTTATGCTTGCATTCAAAGTCAACTACAAGCTTCGAACTGTAACGAACATGTGCTTCGTAAGCTTAGCCTTATGTGATTTCCTTGTTGGCCTCATTTCGATACCGCTCTGGGTCTATTACACTTTCAATTCCGTCAGTAACATGCATCTGTACCTATTCTATATTTCCTTCGATATTTTCAACGGTACCGCGTCGATATTCCAGCTAACGGCGATCAGTTTAGAGCGATGTTTTTCAATCGTCGCGCCAGTTCGTCACCGCTCGATGCCCGTGTTCTTTTACTACGCAATGGTGTTTGCGGTATGGTTTCTCGCAGTCGTCAGCACGTTGCTGCGGTTGCTACCGCAAAAGAATGTCACCGACGGAGATTGGTATAATGTCTATACAATCCTGGTTTGTTTTCTCCTGCCAGTGCTGATAATGACGACGTCGTATTCCCTTTTGTTTCGTACTGCAATGCGGCGCACTCGTCTGAGCGTGCGCTCCAGTAAAAATCAGCAAGTCAGTTGGTCAAGTCAGCGCAAAACCATCATTACCTTGCTGATTGTCACTGGGCTATTTGTGATAGCCTGGTCGCCCTTCTTCATATACCTCGCCCTGGATCGCTACCTTCCCCAAGCGCTACCGAGCACCATGGAGGGACGAACACATCTGTGGCGTTTCGTAAAATGGATGCATTATAGTAATAGCTGTCTTAATCCTTTCATCTATTCGTATCGCAACAGAGAGTTCAACTATTCCTTCAAGATGATACTTCGCGCTTGTATCAAGTGCAAGCGGTTTGAAGAGGTGAGTGGCCGGTTTGGGTGGTAGCAGGGATCAGGCCCGTAACTAGGATTTTATAGATTTACCCAGTCGAGCCTTCGGGCCCCAGAAAATCATAGTGTTTGATTTTCTAAGGCTTAGAAACGCGATTTCCTGCATTCTGGGAGCAATTTCAATAACTGAAAATCAGCAATGATAAACAGTGACTCAATGACTATAATTTCATAGTCTTCCTGCAATCTGGGAACAATTTCAATAAAAAATCAATAATGATAAATATAGTGACACAGTGACTATAATTTCATAGTCTTCGTGCATTCTGGGAGCAGTTTTAAGAAAAAATCAATCGCATAAATAGTGACACAATGGCTATAATTTCATAGTGTGTCTCACAATTGTACTACAAGTATCCAATCATAAAAATTCAAGTACTCTTGATCCAACACGATCAGGTGCATAATAAAAAACGTGTTTGTGGTAATATATTTGGGACGCTAATTCGTACTTCTACACTTCATCAGAAATTGAATAAATTTCATGCAGGATCTGTTTTTTCTAAATTTGAAGTCTTAATCCTAACTGTTTTGAATTGTTTTCACAAAAAATCTTACCGGTTAACTCATAGCGCTGAGTACAGCTTTTTCTAGATTATACTTTATTCAGTGACAGCATTGGGAAATCCAAAACAGGAAAATTTACGAATTTGTTAATGGAAAAATCAGTGACAGTACCTCAAAATACACTTTGTCTTTAAATCGTACACAAAATTAAATGCCACATCCTTTTATTCATTTCATTATTTGATAAGAAACTATATTAAATAGATTTAAACTTTTTGCGTGCATGCAGTATACCGCACGCTTAACTGGAAGCGGCCTTTTGGATAAAACGCTTAACTGGAAGCGGTCTTTTGGATATGTATGTTATTGGCATGAATAGGAATGCTTCGGGTTGGAAATTTTAGTGATAAGAATATGAACGTTCGAAAACAATTAATATTTTAGGATATTTAAGGTCAAAGTTAAAAAGTTACTTTACAATAATACTTATATAACATTGCAATAAAGCTTGATTTCGTTTGGCTTGTTTTGCACAAAAAACAAGCCTAAATTAGTACAATTAACGTTTTAAATTAAGGTGGCTTGATACAGTTTTCAAAAACTTCAGATGTCAGATAACATTTTGACAGTTTTAAACGTCGTAAGTTTTATGAATGCGTGCAGCAGATATCAGGATGTTCATCTAATTTAATGTTTACGAAATTCACTCGAAAATAGCCAATTGCCATGTGTAATAGTTGGAAAAGAAGCCGGTGGCTCCCAATTTTTTTCGTCCGCTATTTCACTTAGAACATGGACTAACAATAAGCAAAGTATAAAAGTTTTGTAATGCCATTTTTCTAAAAAACGCAAAAATGTAGTTTTCTTCGATAAAAAGATTTAGCACTATGCAGAATCAGTTTTTTTTATTTCTCGTATGTTGAAAGACTTTTGCACTTTGCAGAACAATAAGTGTACAAAATTTTAACACAGGCTATAGTTACCGAAAAAAGCGCACTATTCTATAATTCTAAGTTTTGAAGGATTTGTAAGAAATGTTTGTGTGGACAGAGTAGACTTAGTGTTTAACACTCAGTCAGACTCAGTCAGCTTCCTCAAACATTTCTTACAAATCATTCAAAACGTAGGATTTACCCATGCAAAATTTCCACTGTGATCACAGATTAACTTTGATAGTGCATGTAAATCAGCACTTGGATTATGCGTTCACAACACGCGAGAGCGGTTTGAAAACGGCACAGGAAAGTCACAATAGGGCCATCAGTATACGAGCGAAAATAAGCCGCGGCCTAAATAAGCCGCGGCTTAAATAAGTCGCGAACGACTCGTATAAACAGTCAATTCGCAATAAGCCGCGGCTTATTTAGGCCTAGCTTTCAAGCCTGGGCTTATTTTAGCCGCGGCTTATTGCAAATTGACTGTTTATAGGCTACGAGTCGTTCGCGACTTATTTAAGCCGCGGCTTATTTAGGCCGCGGCTTATTTTCGCTCGTATAAATGGCCCTAATTAGGCCCCCTTTACACGAACCCGGGCTGATTTTCAACCCGGGTCAGCACGCCACAGGAGGTTATTTTTTTTATTCTGTTTACATGAACCCGGGTTGACGACAATTTGCCAACCCGGGTCAGCAATTCTCAACCCGGGCTGACTCGAGTAATATTCCGAGCAACAGACTGGAGCAGAGTGTATTTTTAGCGCTTATATCCCTTAAAATCCCTTATAGACCTCATACGATATTATTACGATTATATACCTTTTAGTTTTGGCGCTTATATCTTTCAGTATACAATTATATCCCTTTTTATCAAGGATTTAACCGTATAGCAACTTAATTCTGCCTTAAAGACGTTTTCTTCCCTTTTTTCCTCGTTATTTTGTACTGGAAGATCTACTGGGCAAAAATATTCGGCATCGCCGAACGCCAACGCCAGACCTTCGCGCAACTTTGAATACATTGCGACAACATCGGAGTTGAAATCTACATTTTTATAATTTATCTCCGTCTTATAATCCTTCAGAGAAAGGATTAGGTGATCAATAATTTCAGACCACCACTGAAACGCGGGTTGTGCATTTTTTCTTTTGGTTTTGGACTGTTTTTACTCGCCATACTGTATGATTTTAAATGTCTGTACCAAACAGAGACGGAGAAAATACGCACGCAAAATGTTGAAATGCGATATGACGCTAGGTGCAAAGTTCACAATCAGGAATTTACCTCACTTTACATGAACCCGGGTCAAGCCAACCCGGCTTTACATGAAGAAATGAGTAAAATTTTCACGCGTTCACACCTCGCCAACCCGGGTCGACCCGGGTCTCGAGAAGGGTGCCCCGGGTTGGCGAGGTGTGAACGGTTGACCCGGCTATCGTGTAAACGCTAATAGAGATTTATTCGTAGACGGGTTGACCCGGGCTGGCAAGCCAACCCGGGTTGATAGACAACCCGGGCTCGTGTAAAGGGGGCCTTAGTCGTTGCGTTCACACCACACCGAAACTGTTCAGAAAACGTCACTTGACCGTAACAATTTGAGCACGGTTTCTAAACGAAGCGAGATGAAAACGGAGAGCTTGGCGGCTTCGTGTGGACACAAACGCCGTTACTTTTTTGTACCGCTTGCAAACCAAGCATCTCGGATCTCAAAACAATAAATTCGAATGCTTTTCGTTCAAATTTCTTTGCTCTATGTGAGATATTTTGGGTTTACATGAGTGCTAATTTAATTTGTAAACAAACGTGCATGAACACTGATGACAATAGAGAGGTTAAGACACCCCGTTTTCGGTGTACGGGTACGAGTAGTGTCATCTTGTTTTACTGATGTCTGCAATTCGATCATACTTTTTCTGTTTTCTTGCATATATAGACAATGATATAATGCGAAAAATGTGCACCTTAATCACGAGTATAGGTACAGACATCGACGAAAATATTGCTAACCAAAATCATGCTACTCGTACCCGTACACCGAAACCGGGGTATCTTAACCTCTCTATTATTTACTCCGGTGTAGTCTGGACGTGGTTTTAAACGTCTTGAACCTTTGTGATCAATAATTTCAGGTGAACAGGCAGTTCAAACGGCCGACAAGATTTGGCATACGTCGCCATACAAGAGATGGCAATTCTACTTCTCAAACACTGTGTGCTGGCCATCAAACAACCATGCGAAGCTCACTAAAAGGAAGTCTTAAAGAAGAGGGTACTATTAAGTCATCACGGCGTGCCGAGAGCATCGGGCTCAATACAATACATCCAAAAGAAATTCAAGTCAGTATTATCGATGCAAATTCAAAATGAGGACCAATGAGCTCCATATAGGTACACACGTAAAAATCTCACAACTTGTCAACAAGATGTGTTCGCAACAGGCTTGTAGCAAGCTTGTCAACAAGTTGTAACAATGCTGTTATTCCATCAAGTTGCATAAAGGTTGTCACTCACAGCTTGTTGACAAATTGTTGAATTGCAGGACGATAACAAGTTGTTCGAACAACTTGTAACAAGTCTGTTGAGCTCAACAAGCAGTGCAAACGCATCTTGTTGACAACTTGTTGGAACAAGTCTGCTGCAGGTTTGTTACAACTTGTGCGTTGCTACGTGGAGCAAGGACTCGAGTACACAGAATGAAGCCAAATCTCGTATTCAGAGTAAGCCCGTTCACAGGTTAGGTGCCGCTTCAATCTCGTTCCTAGGTGCCAAGCACCTAACCTGCGAACAGGCATACTCTGGGTACGATATTGAGTCAAGCCACGATGGTGCTATTGTTCCAGTCCCAATTTCTACTGTTTTTGTCTGCGCAAGGCTAACTCATATCTATGACTGACGTTCTTGCCTCAGATATACAGCTAATTCAATTAAGGTTGTCCTTTCAAAGTCAAAACCGCAAAACCTCGACCTCTAAGCGCGTAAGGCACGATGGACATGCATACAGTATGTGATTGATAGTCCGAGCACTCCGTAGTTACGCGGTTGCTACGTTCCACAAGCTGTTTAGGTATCGGCATTCCCGTTGATTTTCACCTTTCTCGGATTTTATTTTCTCGTCCAACCCAATTCAATGGCAAACCTGGCGGAATTCATTGAATTTTTAAACTTTTTAATGTTTTAAAGCAAGTTGTTTGTGTGATATGCTTGACTCCTTTGAACATTAGCACAAATGTGACATAAACAATCTCATGATAATGATGCTTTTCGCGCTTAGAGGTCAAAGTTTGGGCAACTTTGATACACCCTTTCGATAATTACGTCACAACTACACTGTTTTCAACTTAACTTAGGACTAGAAAGGATTTCAAGGTTTTTTCTCATGGACTATCCACAGAGAAGCAGAACATTCTTCTTCAACACATGCATGAAAAAGAATTCTTTATTTTGACCAGTAAATGTGGAAATAAGCTTTAACACGAAAACGAGGCTCCAGGTCATGATCTGGAGCCTCGTTTTCGTGTTAATGCTTATTTCCATATTTATTGATCAAAATCCAAATTTTTTTTCGCGCATGTGTTGAAGGATGTTCTGCTTCTCTGTGTATTGTCCATGAGGAAAAAAACTTGAAATCCTTTCCATTTAAGATGGTCCTAAGTTGAAAACAGTGTAGTTGTGACGTACTTATCGAAAGGGTGTATTGAATTAGTTGTATATAGTTCTCATTGTTGAGAACTGGAAATCATAAGGAATGGGACAAACCACTGGTCTTAAAACTAGAACTGGATGGAGCCTCTGGAGCGTCGTTTCAGTGCGGGAAGTCATCCGAAGACAGCGAAAGATATGATACTCCCAGGTTGGATTAAATAATGAACGCGTTCCTATTAGGTACTGAAGTAAAATTTGTCTCTGACTCTGTAAAAAGTGTTTTTGCGTCAAAAAAGTTGTTCGAATATATTCCTTTGCTATTCAATGGTGGAAACGAGTTTTTAGAAACAATTGAAAGCATATAACAGTTTCTATTGGGTCATCTCTAGCTACCACCAGAGCATGCATCAATAGCCATAAATGTTTCGCTGCTCATTCTGTAGTGATGTGTAAATATAAATATACTAGTGAAATTACAGTCGGTTTGACCACAAAACTATTTTTATTTTTCGTGCTTTTACACAGGGAATACTCTGATTTGTCGAGTCTCTTGGTTTTTTTCCATGTTTGCTTCGCAAGTGAAAACTAATCATGGCCTTTTTTAACCATATTACTAGATGGCCAATGCCCCCTCAGCCCCAATAGTCTTCCGGCCAGCCAACCATTTTGCCCCCCACCGCCCCTGTCAAAGTTTTCTTTCTCTATTATAAACAAAACATTGGAAGAAAATGGAATTTATAGAAGGGAGGTTTGATATCCTATGGTAACTTAACCTTGCTTTGTCAATCTTATATGCAAGGGTGGGTTGACTACAAAATTTTTGTAGTTCGCTATAAGAGGGTCCTGAAGGGTCCCAATCCCATTTCCCACCTGAAATTTTGGCAAAATCCCAGTCCCAGTTGGATTTTTATTAGAAATCCCAGTCCGAGTTATTGAAATTCCAGTCAATAAAAACCCCCTTTATTTATCGTTAGAAAAGCCACCGTGTGTGCAAGTGGCAGACACTTTATGAAATATGGGGGGGGGGCTCGATAAATTTGAATCCCGGAAATGGCATATGCAGCATTCTGAGATACGCATAATCAGAAAACCCAGAACTCCGGGCGCCAGAATATGCCTGTTCGCAGGACCAAAGACACTAAAAACATATCAAAATTGTATTTTAAAATACTTAAAACGTAGAAAAATTTGAATCGACTCGCATTACCTCAATCCCATTCCCATTTTTGAGGACTTCATTTCCCATTCCGAAGTCAGGCAGTGGCCAAATCCCAGTCCCAGCAACCCAAATTCCATTTTCCCAGTCTAAAAATAGATCAATCCCAGTTCCCATTTTACCCCTTCAGGGCCCTCCTATAACTACAGCTACTTCAAAAATATGTAGTCAGCTACAACTACTGCTACTATTTAACAAAGGTAGTTCGCTACTGACTACAGCTACTGCTTAAAAAATGTAGCGAACTATTTCGCTATTTCGCTACTCTATATTTTTTAGTTTTATGGTATTTGGAGCATCCACTAGCTCAGGCTGTAATACAACCAGGGACGCCGGAACGATAATAGGGCAAAGGGGGGCGGACGCACACCAAGGGCACCTTTACTGAAAAATGTTTTTTCACTGCAAAATTTTTTGGCGACCTCCGTCCGCCCCCCCCACTCCCCCCCCTCGCCAAAATTTCGGTCAGTGTACCATTTTAGGGGTCAAAAAATTTTTCCAGACATACAAAAATTTTCCTTTAAGCCAAAAATTTTTCCGGATATCTTAAATTTTCGCCATTTCTTCAAAATATTTTTCTAAATTCCAAAAATTTCCCAAAATTTTTATAAATATAAACTATAAATTACCTGAATCTCGTGATTTTCCTACAAAAAGCATCGTTGGAAATGTGATTTATCACGTATTATTTTACAACTAAAAGGGCACTTCTGCCCCCCCCCTGGCCCCCCTAGCAAAAGGCAAGGGGGGCAGCCGCAACCCCCCTCCCCCTGCTGCCCCCCGCCCCCCCAGTTCCGGCGTCCCTGAATACTACCTATAACAAATCGACTTACGAGTAGCAACAGTAAACAAGAAGGGTCAAAGCAACATTTTTGTAAGCACTACAGTGTTCAGGAGTGCCACTTTTCATTGCGCTAAAATAATCTTTACTGTGTAAAATAATCTTTTAAGCAAACCGTGTCTTAATATCATTCTGTTCTATGAACGGTTGCTAACAATTTTAAAAAGTAGCGAATAGCGATTCGCTGTTTGAAAAGTAGTCAACTACTTGGCTACTTTTAGGCAAAATGTAGTTCGCTATAACTACAACTACTGTTTTAAAAAAGTAGTCAAAAACTACTGGCTACTTGAAAATTGTAGTTCGCTACAGTAGCGAACTACAACTACTTCGCTACTACCCACACTTGGTTATATGTCGTTGTCTTTTATCTTCAAATGATTCAATGTATTTTTAAGAATGCTAAAAATTGTGTTGTGAATACCTTAGATTTATATGTCTCAGTGGATAGCATATCCCAAACCCAATAGATTTGAGTTGTTGGAAGGCTAGGCTAAACAAGTTAGTGACTGAGTTGTGGTATGCAAGTGAAGATATCATGCAAGTGAAGATTAAATTAAAGTGAAGATTCAGTCTATGTATCTACAGTATAATGTAACGCTGCATATCCAAAAGTCTGTTTCAGAAAACACAGGAAATGCATGCAGTACTAGGGGTGGAAAAGTATACGAAAATCGTGGCGCCAATTCACAAGCCGTTTACCGAGCCAATCAAACTTTATAATGAAAACATCATTTGCATTGAGCAAATTGTCGCTAAAAATTCTCCCGTGGGACACAGCTGAAACTTTGTCCGCATTATTTGGGTGGCAAAAATGGTGAACGCTTGATTGCATGGCCATTATTTTAGAACTCTCCTGGGACCCACATTTTTTTTAACGCAGTAAATTCACTGCACTAAATATATGGTAATTTGTACATGCGGTGAGTCTGTGACTTCGACCATTCATGCGTTTGTCATGGGCGTTCGCTGTTTTCAACTTTTCATTGTGGACCTGATCGCCATGTGGAAACTTGTTGATACTTGTCATATGTTGGGCGTGGATAAGCTAACAGTTCTAGAGGAGAATCAGTATTCAGTTGTGAAGGATTCTGTATATTCAAGCAACCATATATAGTGAAATGATACTGCAACTAAAGATTTTAACTCTGCAGCCTCTGGGCGACAAGGTGAAGTGAAGATTATATATTATGCTCTAACGTCGACACGGTTAGTATATAAAACAAACTAGTAAACTATTTAGTGTCTGTTTGTAGATTTGAGGGCGGTAAAAGTGCTCGTGTGATCAGAACTAGCACGCTTTGGGTCAGCGAGTACCTACATGCAGCCTGTATCAAAATAGATAATCCATGCCATGCAATTTCGACATGCCATCGTGCTTTGGGTGTTACGTTTATGGAGTTACTTTTTCCATACAAGTAAAGTTCAGACTTTTACTTTTCAAATCATACCTTCCTTGTATCATTGTGATAAAAAATGGCCAAATATGAACCGATTTATAACAGCCTGTCGAAATCATCCATGGCGATTTTCATCCATGGCGAGAATTGAGTCGGCAAATCTACCGTGTCATTCGTCTGCGTTTTTAAAAAAAATTGGATTAGTGTCAAATAAATTCATACAGTAAATTCAAAGGTGGAGCTCGTGCTGTACTAGGCCTGCAAAATATAGATAACAGCGAATACGTCCTATTTCTAGCATCCGCAATTAAGCCATGCAATGATATTCTAATATCTCATCACTCGGATTTTTATACAAACATATTCTGTCAATTTCAATAACTTTTGTTTTGCAAAAACTTATCTAATATACATGCGTAAGAATATAGCAAGTCTGTCAACAAGTTGTGTTCGCACTGCTTGTCCCAAGATGTCGACAAGTTTGGAACAAGCTGTTAACAACTTGTAACAACCTTGTTGATATTATCAAACTTGTTGCAAGGTTGTTCCAACAAGTCCGATACAATCACGATATAAAATATGTTACAACCTTGTTTCGTCAACCTTGTAACATTCTTGTCATATCATGACTGTATCATACTTGTTAGAACAACCTTGTGACAAGTCTGATAATGCCATCAAGCTTGTTACAAGTTGTTAACAGCTTGTTCCAAACTTGCTACAACAACTGGGAACAAGCAGTGCGAACACAACTTGTTGACAGCTTGTGAACAGATTTGTAACAACTTGTTTGCAGACCTGTAACAACTTGTGCGTTTTTACGTGTGAAAAACCAGCATTCCATTTCTGCTCTATCTGGCCTTCGCCGTTTTTGCATCCTAGAGTCGTTTTTACGTGTAGCTCAAATCACTATCTGGGGCGCTATCATTTTGCTTTGATGTTTTTTCTGAATTGGAAATGCGCTTTCTTAAACTGCACATGTCATCATTTTTTTTCTATGCACCTACGCAATTTAAATCCACCTTCGGCTTAGGGAGAGGTCATTATTTATGGACCGAAGAGAAATGATTTCCTGGTAAACATTTTGCCGATCCAACCATTAAAAAGTTAAAAACATTTTTACCCAATTTCGAATATCAATAAAAAATAAATAAATAGCCACCTCTGGCCAAAAACGTTACAAAAGAATGATACTGTTCAGTTATCACATATATCCTTTTCCAATTCTGTGACATGAGTTTGATAACTGCTTGTGCAGTTTTCTGCAGTCTTAAAAGTTTCATATTGTCTGCGCATGTACTTTCTTTGGAGACATGCACCATTTGCCGCCTGATCAATCTTAAAATGATCAAAATAGTGACTCTGATTGATTTACATATTATATTGACATATGACTGTTGTCATTGCTTTTTAGTCTTCAATATTTGAGTGAGTCATGCTTTGGAAATGACAAGAAATTTTATTACCCAACCCTTGAGTTGTTTTGTTTTTCATTTACCCAACCTTTTACTCACTCAAAAGTTTGTTTATCCAACCCTTTTTCTTTGGCCCCCATAAATAACGACCACTCTCTAATCGCCTCATTTGCATTCATTTGAAAGTCAATTTCAGTTTTTTTTTGTCCGAAGTTTGTGCTATAAACAGAATATTAAATGTTCAGGTGTATAAAATAATAGAAATATATCAAATAAAAATATATCATAAGAATTAGCTTTATTCTCTCACAAAAATCATGCCAAACATTGCAATATACGTTTTATTACTATTGTGTGTTTATAAACACGTAATATAATTTACTTTCGTAGTAGATTTCCTTGACCAAGGAAGGAATTAAAATTTCCTTGAAGAGTGATTAGTGGTTTTCATAAGAAAACCGTCGACGCGCGCGCGCACCAGAAACAAAATATTTTGATGACCTATATACTGTTAACTGTAGAAATCGACATCGTCGATAATTTCGGGCGGGAAACGAAGTAATTTTGTTCATTAAAAACATTATACAGCCCAGACAACTATTTTAAAACGAGCCATGTAAACACTTTAGTTTTATGAATTTTTCTGTGTTGGTGTTGTGTACTCAGGTGAATAATATGTTTGCGATGTTACTCTGAGTGCATATCCACACCGGGCGAGCTTGAAAAATATGCCCGGCCACGGTGGGATTCGAACCTACGACCTTTGGAATACTAGCCCAATGCTCTTCCAACTGAGCTACGCGGTCAGGACGGTTCGAGTAAGTGATATTTCGGAACAGTATCTAGTTCTTATAGTATCATAGTTTTTATACTGGAAATTTATTTAATTTAAGCCTACAATTTAACATCAACAAAATCTTAATAAGTAGCAAAAATTTGTTACATTATCAAACAATATATCTCCAGTCTTGATACAAAAATATGAAGGGGGGGGGGGATTTTAACATAAGGACTCGGCTCTTCCAACTACTCCCCCCGGTTCATATACACACCTAATGATAGCGACTATATTAACAAAGAAAAAACATTGATTGCTATGCAACTATCATGCACAATCATAACTTAGCTACAAACTCGAAATAGTGCATGCATGTATGCATTATACCGCCAGGATTACGTTCTGGAGAAATCTACGCAACTGTTTTTACATTCTAATAATTATGGCAAATATCTACACTGTACGTATTAGTTTAAGGGTTATATGCTTTACAATCACTAGGAAGTTCAAAATGTATGGAGAGTTCAAATCCTGCTGGCGACATGAAATCCAGTCAATTCCACCGCCTTTTCTTTTACCGGATTCATTTGGGTCAGACTAAATTCAGGCTTCAGCAAGAACTTGATTCGCTGAAAAATATAAAAGGAAATCAGTAAATGATTAAAAATGCGTTGAAACTTGAAAGTGTCACTATCAGTAAACATTCTAGGAAAGATAACAAAGTTTTAGAAAAAAAGTTACATTATGATTTTAAATAAACTTTGCAATTCAATCATAAAAAAATTCTTGCATAGGCACTTTAATAATAACAGTAAGGCGTAAAAAAAATACCTGTGGTTCCGGTTCCCGACCGACCCTATTTTTTTCTGCCGACCCTATTATTTATTCAACGCGATTGACTGTGCGACCCTATTTTCTCCAGGTGGTTGCGGGCTGCTCGTGCAGCGTGCCAAAATGGCGTCTGTTGTCAGACTAATTATTGAACCAAATTGCCTAAATTCGTCCATAGGATGATAGGAAATACGCATCTCTAGTTAATATTGATGTCGGGACTCTACTGCAAATCGCCCAGCAAAAAAACGCCAAAACCATGAAAAAAATATTCAAAAAAAAAATTTATTTCCGACCTACCGACCCTAATTTTTTCACGATATGAAACCGGAACCACAGGTATTTTTTTTTTACGCCTAACTAGTAATATATTTCGGGTATGTGTAACTTTTACCGATACCTTTTCCAGCATGTAACTGTACTGTAGCTGTATAAACTGGTTCAAAAATAAGTAACAGCACTGGACCATAAATGCTTTATTACCTCTATCAAAGTTCCCTCTGTGTGAATGATTTTCCACACAGCATACGCAGGAATACAGAGCATAGGTAGACCAGCAATAAACCAACCAAGTATTTCAGCCCATACCGGATATCTGTATTTCTCATATGTGATACCTTTCTCAGGATATTTGATCAGACTGAACAAGAATACCCCCTGATAGAAAACACAGGGAAATGTAAATAGGACTGCTTTCAATGGGGAATCGGGGGGGGGGGGGGGGCTTTAAATACAATTTTATGTTAATTTATAGTGACATCGAATTGGATGGCGTTAGACAGACCATGGACAGACAAAGCGGTAAAATAATAAAGTGGTCGCATCAGGACACATTGCCACCTATAGGGTTGAACATTACAGGTTTCAAAGATTGTGAGTTCACGGCAACAAGGTATACCTTGTTATAGGAAATTAACGATACACTTTATTAACGCGACATAAATGAACGCGACATCAAATTATAAACGCGGATTGCTTCTAGGTCTTTTAAAACATGATTATATTAACGCGAATCCGATCTCGATGGTTGACAAATTAATTAAATTAACGCGAATCGGAAAATATAGACACAACAACAACAAAGGTTTAATGTTAAGAGGAGCACTGATGTTTTTAGTTTACGTTAATATGCTGTATTTTGATATCAAAAGAGTTAGTGTTATATGAAACAAATCTAGGTATTTTTAGCTAACGATAAATGAAAATTACATACTTAAAATTAACGATCACATAAATTAACATTAATTAAATTAACGCGAATTTTTAAAATCCGTGTTAATAAAGTGCATCGTTAATTTCCTATAATAAGGTATTAGTCATGTTTTCGCTCGCTACTCTGTTTTTTATCAATGAATGCAAAGCCCCGTCGAATTGCATTCACAAACCAACGTTTCGACATTCCAGTCTAGTGTCTTCATCAGGGGTGATCTGAAGACGCAAAGTGGCTTCCTACAGTGTATCGGGATGACATCATCTGCCAACAAGATGAATATGTGGTAAATAAGCACCATCATCCCTATTCAAAGCATGATTACTCATATTTATATGGCACGTTTCTAGGCAACGTCTTTGACCATAGCGATTGTTATTCTTTTTCGTAAGAAACATCACCTTATGGAACAACTTGCCAAGCTTGGTATAGTTGAAGTAGACAACATTAAGAACTTTAAGAACAGTCTAAAACTACATATGCAAATGTACTGAATTATTTTAATCTATAGTGTATAGTATTTATCGTGCCTTAGCTAAGAAAGTATATTGTAATTAGATAAGGGGATCCAAATATAGGGTTAACCTCCAGTTTGTCCTGCAAAGGCCTTGATACTTTTGTGATACTAGGTTCTTTGAGTAAATTTATGAGTAACATCACAAGCATCATATTCACCTGAGTACATTATATACCAACACAGAAAACATCATGATTACTAGATTACATCGAAGGAACTAGATTCTGTTCCGAAATATCACATACTTGAACCGACCTGACCGCGTAGCTCAGTTACTTCAGTTGGCAGAGCATTGGGCTCGTATTCCAAAGGTCGTAGGTTCGATTCCCACCATGGCCGGGCATATTTTTCAAGCTCGCCCTGGTGTGGATATAAACTCAGAGTAACATCACACAAGCATCTTATTCACCTGAGTACATTACACCAACACAGAAAACATCATGATTACTAGATTACATTGATATCGAAGGAACTAGACTCAGTTCCGAAATATCACATACTCGAACCGACCTGACTGCGTAGCTCAGTTGGCAGAGCATTGGGCTAGTATTCCAAAGGTCGTAGGTTCGATTCCCACCGTGGCCAAGCATATTTTTTAAGCTTGCCCGGTGTGGATATACACTCAGAGTAACATCACGCACAAGCATCATATATCCATCTTGTTGGCAGATGACGTCATCCCATGGGTATAAAGAAACCACATTGTGAATTGCGACTTCATGTCACCCTTGATGAAGACACAAGACTGGAGTGTCGAAACGTTGGGTCGTGAATGCAAATTAACTGGGCTTTGTATTCCGCATTTATTAAAACCAGAGTAGCGAGCGAAAATATATGATTGCAGCTTTTTTCAGCGGCTCATTTTCAACTTTGCCTCAATGGTTTGTACTTACAACAACCAAAAACAAGGAGATATATTTCCAACAAATTATCCACCATGTATGTATTCTTGTGCCGGTCAAACTGTATATCTCATCGACCCAGGTTCTACCACCTAAAATTCAAAGGAGATAATGATTTCGGGAAACACACTCAGGGCGTCGTAAGGGGGGATTGTGTTCATAGTCGGCAAAACTTGAATTGGATAGGAAGGGGGAAAACTAAAATATATGAGCTACACTGATTAAAAACTAATATTTATAGCAAAAATTTTGGAAAATTTACGAAAAAATAATGAAAACATTAACGAAGAAAGGAAAAGAAAATTTAATGTCTAGGAAATTTTTTTCGCCAACACTTTTGTGAAAAGAAATATTTTAAATTAGTGGTTGAAATGGGTTGGCAAAATTGCATTTACATTCCTCCATTAAAACAGGACTAGCGACCATTAATGGCCCGCCTTGATTTCGAGCTATTGTTTCGTGTGCACTCCAGCATGATTCGGACTGTCTACACGTTTGAAATGTTATCGTGCTCACAGATGCTATATATACCTACCGAATGCCCAGCCTACAACAAGCAATTCGAAAATGACAACAAATATGAGACAGACGCCAGCGGCAAATGAATCCAACAGGTTAAACACATAAATACCGCCCTTAAAAGAAATTTATGAAAATCTGAGGAACTGGGGTGGTAGGGAACAAGCGGTCGAACCGTATACCCTAGTGCCATGTTATAAAAATCCAATGGCGCGAAAAGCTGACAAGAGTATTGATTGTTTATGAATAGAGGGTAAATAGTAGGAACGCATCTCGCATTCAGACGCAATTAATGCAGATAGTTGTTTATGTACTGTTTAATAAACGAGCAGGAGTGTTTTATTTGGTTTAAAGACACAAGCGCGCAGCGCGAGTGGCTTTAGACCTAATAAAGCACGACCTGCGAGTTTATTAAACGGCTTCAAACACGACTACAAATTCAATAGATTTACTGCCTTATTAGTACTCTTTATATAAGAAATACAAATGAGGACACGACTACAATAGATACTGCCTTATTAGTATTCTTTATATAAAGAATACTAATTAGGAGTGTTTTATCAGGTTTAAAGCCACTGCACGTGACATATTATGGTTGACATGATTTGCCAATTAGCTTATGAATTATTAATGAGTGTTTGAAAGTAATTTTAGTAAACGTAAATTAAAGAGCCATGTTCACAACTGATTTCCCTGCATGTGAGTTCTTTTTGGATAGCATGGGTCTATGTCAGATTTTGCGTTGGAAGTAGCAGCAAAAATTGCCTCGTGTATCATGGCCTTAAGTTCTCCGATATAGGAAGGCTATAGGGGTTTATGCATGATTACCAAAAAAATAAAAAATAATATACCTGGGTGACGCAGGCTATTCCCAGCAGGAATAGAACGAAACAAACGGCTAAGACTACAAGTTCTTTGTAAGGACGGAGTTTCTTGGGATATTTCTCGATAATAACCCCGCATAACACTTCCACTTGGCCAAACTAGAAAAACGTACAGAGTGGTTTGTCGGGGAAATCACCCCCATCACATTTTATAATGAATAGACTGGTTTTGCTGAACAGCATGGCAGCTTTCAAAGCTGCGATAAATATCAGTAATGTTTATTCGTTTTATAATATATCTATATTTAGTAATATAAGTTCGGGATAGCTGTCACCATCCTTAACGGTTCGACTTTGTACGCAGGGCGCGAAATAACGGCTGGAGGGTCGCCGGTCAAGGTGACCGGCCAATTCAATTTTAGCTCGGACATGCCGAATTTCTGGCCGGTCAAATTATTCAGCTTAAAGCAAAGCGTATAGTAAAGTATACCTCTAAAAATGTGACTATTTTCACAATATAACATCACAAAAAGCCTTACTGTAATCAGTAATTAAAAACATAAAACAGCTTGCACTTCGCTAAAACAGCTTGCACTGCGCTAAAAGCATAGCCTTAACTCGATCTTAAGCCAAAGACATGGCCATGGGCTTTGTGACATACGGCGTTGGAAAGCTGGCGTACATTGAAGTTCTTTTCCCGAAAAATATTCGACAACATGTTATAATAATACTTGATAATATTTTGATTATTAATTAAAATGAAGATTAGTTTGTTCTTTCACCGAAAGTGACCGGTCAAAATGACCGGCAAGGTAAGAATTCGACCGGACAACTCCGCATTCTGGCAGGACATTGTCCGTTGACCGGCCGTTATTCAGCGCCCTGTCAGAACGTACAACGCCAGTGAACTGAACGCCGCTTGTTAATCTCCATGAGCCCTCTAATCGCTTAAATATGCATAGCTATATCATCCTAAAACAGCTTACGACGGGTAAGCGACGAGACAGCAAAAACAACTATACATATACTTCAATCACTAAAATGATTTGCGCGGTAAAAATAACCACTTTCGGCTGAAAAATGGTTATTTTTCCCGCGCGTCATGCAAATATATACATAATTAACCTTACATATGTATATATGCAAATATATACATAATTAACCTACCTGACTATCCAAACCAAGTGTAATCAACATAAGAAAGAAGATTACCGACCAAAACTGAGGAATCGGCAGCTTCGAAAGGGCTTCTGGGTAAGCGATAAACACAAGTCCAGGACCTAGGAAAATAGAAAAAAACCGCGTTACTAAAATCATAGATGCATTGTTTCGATCGTGTTTGTGCCATATTCTTGTTCTTAAACAACAAACCTTGCGAAGCAACTTCAGTGACAGACTTTCCTTGGGATGCTGCCATATTGCCCACGACAGAAAAGATAACGAAACCAGCAAAGATACTTGTTGAACAATTTATGATTGAAATTAAAATTGCATCTCTGAAATTCAGTGTTATAAAAATTACCAATGATAAAAATTAAAATTTAATACTTCTCCGAAAACGTAATTATTGCCAAATTAAAAATTACTTTCCTTCAAAAGTGATTAATTACGAATTAGGAATCACTCATCAGAAAGTTAATTGCTAAATACTTGTTGAACAATTTATGATTGAAATTAAAATTGCATCTCTGAAATCCAGTGTTAGAAAAATAACCAATGAATAAAAAATATTTCTCACTTCTCCGAAAAGATAATTATTGCCAAATTACAAATTACTTTCCTTCAAAAGTAACTAATTACGAATTAGGAATTACTTATCAAAAATTTAATTTCTAATTTTTCGTCAGATTGCCTTTTACTTAATAAGATCAAATTAGATTGCTACAATATCAATGCACTTAATTAAGGCAACAAGTCGTATAATTTAAATTGTGACTTAATTAGTCATTCCAAAGTTGATGCTCTGACTGGGGACGAGTGTTAAAAAGTGCCCAAATTAAGAAATGAACCAAATCACGAAAAAGACCACCTCAAAATTAGCCTAAGTATACAAAGTTTGAAAACGTTTACATGAATACCCTTCGAATAATAAGCTTTCGAAAATCGCGACATTAGTACTATGAAATGTACTGTAATTTTTGTTTTCGGGGACGCGTGTCCCAAAAACAATCTTTTTAATCAGTAATTTCACAATTTTGGAAAGCTTATTATTCGAAGGGTATTCATGTAAACATCTTCAAACTTTGTATACTTACTAATTTTGAGGTGGTCTTTTTAGTGATTTGGTTCATTTCGTAATTTGGGCACTTTTTAACACTCGTCCCCAGTCCACTCATCAACTTCGGAATGGCTCGCATGATCTGTTAACCCTCGATAGACAATGGAAAAATGAAAAAGCACACAGAAGTAACGCAAAATATTTTCATAAAAATGCTACTCGTTATCTTAGAAAAGTAATTACGCAATATCACATTCTCGTACCCAGAGCCCTTCTTACGCGCGGTGCGACGAGGGGCTCTGGCCAAATCCATATCCGAACTGGCATGTGATTGGCTAGTTCTAACACCGGATATTGTTTTCTTACCATGTTTTTATGGTATCCGGTTATGGATTTGGCCAGAGCCCCTCGTCGCACCGCACGTAAGAAGGGCTCTGGGTACGAGAATGGTAACATCATAGCTACCTCGAAATCATTTGTTTCGCGAGGGACGATTAATGACTAATTTACCTCATTGCTAAAACATGATACCGTAACTCATTAACGAATATCCCAATAGTCATTAGTATCAAAAAACAAACGCGTCTTTTCATTTCAACTTATTCAATCGAATGAAACCGTTTTATTGTCTCGGTAGCTATGTTATTACAAAGAGATAGCATGGCATTACAGTCAAGTAGTGATGAAATGTCCCTCAAGCCTCGAGAGGTATAGTAACGGGTACAATTAATCACTATTCTCCATAGATATCTTATATACACTAGATAGCTCATCTCTTTTAGTAAAATTGAAGCCAAGAATATTCCAGCGGTTACCCCCATTTGAATAGATGGCGGCCATGTTGGTGTTACCCACTTGCTAATAAACGCTTAAAAAACAACAATAACTTTCGTCATTTGAATAGTTTAAAAATGTATTTGAAATAGGTTTAACTTAATATTTAAGTTCCCTGTTTAAGAAATAGAAAACATACGAATCTTCTCATTTCATGGGAATCACGGCTTCAATTTTTGAATTGCAGAATAATTAGATGCACTATCTAGTGTATATAAGATATCTATGCTATAATCGCCCTGAATGCCATGCTATTACTTATAATTACAAATTACTTTCGTCCAACAACTAATTAATGGCCTAAAAAATTATTCAAAAAGTATTTAGCAATTATAGTAACGCGTTACTTCGATAACGAGTTTTACAACACTGACAAAAATCAATGGTAAATCTTTTTGTGAGAAACTGAATTCGAATATACAGCGTACAAAAACTGCGAACAGCTTGAAAGTATAAGGAAAAGAACAATGAGATTAGGCATCAATAGCACATTTTCTTGTTCTCTCCAAAATTATTAAATTTCTTTGCTGACCTGTACAAAGTGGGGTTCTTTTTGTCGTTATAACTGGAAAATCCAAGTAATACACCAAGGCCAATGGCTAACGAATACATAATTTGTGACGCAGCATCTACCCACACCTATTGAAAATTAACCATATTTATCTTAGTTTGTTTCTTTCTTGAGATATTTAAAGTGCCTAATACTGCCTATGCAAGAATTTTTTTAATTTTTTAATTTTTTTTTTGAATTGCAAAGTTTATTTAAAATCATAATGTAACATTTTTTTTTAAAACTTTGTTATCTTTCCTGTATGTCAAGATATTGGACTTTGTTTGGCATGCAAATGTGACTTATATGACGTCACACTGCATAATGAGTTCTTAGAAAGAAAACGTTTCCTTGCCAAAATATGTGATAATTCTACTGACATTGAAAGTTATATACTTTAAGAACTATCAAAGCTATCATTTCGTCTGCAAATCTGAGTTAATATCAAGCTAGAAACAGTCTTCTGTAAAATACATTATTCAGTGTGACGTCATGTAAGTCATATTTGCATGCCAAACAAAGTCCAATATTTTGATATACAGGAAAGATAACAAAGTTTTAGAAAAAAAAGTTACAGTATGATTTTAAATTATAAATAAAGTTTGCAATTCAATCATAAAAAAATTCTTGCATAGGCGATGTCTGATATGCATATTACTCTCATCATGACATCAATAACATAACGGCTTTCTGAAAAAACTTTCAAAACTCTTATAGATAACTGATATCCAAACTTGTCGACATATAATATACATTAGTAATATGCATGATACATTTATGATTTCGTTGAACAATATACAAAGATTTTTAAGTTTTTCAGAAAGTCGTTATGCAGTGTGACGTTATATAATGAAGATAATTTGGCATATCAAAAAGAGGCAACATTTTTCATTGTCACGTATTTTCGAAACCTAAAAACTTTTTTTGGGCGTTCCTCTCAAAACTGCTTTGTTTTAGCTTTACTTTGTAGTTTACACAGTTAGCAACCTTTTTAAGTGCATCTGGCGGTTGAGAAATATAGAAAATAATAGTTAAGCATAAAGAAAACAAAAGCAAACCTTGAAATCGGTAAGACGGTGGAATTGCGGCTTTACGAAGTACAAAATTCCATCCTTGGCACCATCCAAAGTTACCCCACGGAAGAACAAGATGATCAGAATGATATAAGGTGCCGTCGCTGTCACATACACAACCTAGGAATAAGAGACGCCAAATTTTAGTCGCATTCCGCGCTTTCGATCGAAGAGAAAAGGGTTGGGCAAACAAAATATTGAAGGTTAAAAATTAATGTGCTATCTTGATCATTTTGTACGCGTCTCCAAAGAAAGTACATGTGCAGACAACATGAAATGTTAGGCTTCAGAGTATAGCACAAGCATGTTATCAAACTCATTTCATAAAAGTGATAAAGAACATATGTGACAACTGAATGGTATCCTTATGTAAAGTTTTGGCCAGGGGTGGGTATTTATTTTTTAATTGATATTTGAGGTTGGGTAAAAATGGTTCCTAATGGTTGGGTCAGCAAAATTTTTACCAAGAAAAACATTTCTCTCCGGTGCCAGCCCCCGCCATAAATAATGACGGCTCCCTAAATTTCCTGGTAAATTTAATCACAGTCCTGGTTAACTTAATTTAACCAGATTATGTTGTAAGGTGGACTATTGAACCAGGAATTCTTGGACTATGATCAAAATCACTGACCTTTCCCGTCGTTCTAATTCCCTTCCAGATACAGAAATACACTAGCACCCAGGCAAGTAATAAACAACCAAACATTTCCCAGTTCATCTCGCCTGGGTTATCTATGCCGTCGGTGATTTTTAGTACATTGTGTCTGTGGGAGAAGAATAGAAAAGCATGGGGTTATTAATTCTACCCTCGATTTAATTTCGAATTTTTGAATTTAATAGTTACCACAGAAAAAAAATTAGCCGCCATTTTGCAAATTTCGGTTTTGTTATATTCACCTGTAGGTGAATTAATAGGTCAAATTTGACCAATCAACTTGTAGGATTTGTTATATTCACTTGTGCAAAAATACTAAATATACATATGCATATTCTTGGTTTGCAATTGATGTCATGACGGCCATTTTGGAGGAAAGCTAACAAAAGAATCTCATTAGCAGCTATTGTTTTTGGAGCGTGTTTTCCTCCAACATGTCCGCCATATCATTGTCTTGTAAATCTCAAGAGATTGATTGCAAACCATCAATGGCGAGGAAATCAAAAAGAAACCATAAGGCTTATGAAACTACGTTTGTTTACACAAATGAATAACGTAAGTACAAATGGCAGCACGATTATGCATGCTATACAGTTATCACTTATTTTAACTAAACCATTCGCCTTGTAGGTTGAGAAGGGTTATCTCTCACTGGTTATGTTTACTGCATTCATGAGTAAAGCTGAACTATAAAATATCCTTGTTTATACTGGATTTTTCCTGATATCTCAATTGCCATTAGTTATAAATCTGTCTTCCTAGAGGGCCCAGTAAAGGCCACCTCTTATCGGACTAGTCTTACTACTACAAGATTATAAAACACCTATTGGCGTTTGTATGGCACACTTTTCTGGAAGCACAACTATTGAGAGTTATTAAATAAAATACATTTCGCTGCAATAAGAAAAACATTGAAAATGTAATATTCAAATTCAATTTTCTCACGAAAAATTTTACGGTAATTACTGATTTTCAAACGAGTTGTGCTCCTGCGTGTTTTAACCAATTGTTCTCAAATTTTCACAGGACATAGCTAAATACGTCAGTTTCAAAACTGTGTTCGGCTTTTTTTAAATTTTGGATATTTTAAAAATAAAGAGCAATTCACTCAAACAATTCAGAAATATATTGCAGTCGTCAAAGAAATCACCATATCAGCGGAATGACGAAATAAACAAAAATTTCCGAACACAGTTTTTTAGATCAACTATTTTGCTGTATAAAAATGATATTTTCATAAATATAACTTAAAACCAGCAGGAGCACAACTCAAAAGCGTAAAGGTACCGCGATTTAAGATTTTCCTGAATAATTCTTACATTATTTTATTGTTTGTTAATTTTACAACTTTACCATATTTTGCATGCACTGGAGAACATTTGGTGAAAATTTGATGAAAATCGGACTGATATTGAGCGCGCAGTAGCGATTTTCCGCAAAATGCCAAAAAGGGTGTCCTGTAACCTTAAACAAACAAAAGTGAACCTACACATAAAACTCTCGACTTGACGAAACGCCAGTAGCATTTGGATTTGACTTGTTGTATACGAAACAATCATCATTCCACGGATGATCGCAACCGACCCAGGGTAGGTTAGCTTTGAACGAATTGAAGAAATAATAGCAAGACCAAGCAAGGATCACGTTGTAGTATATGGACACCATAAACGAAATCACCATATTCGCATAACCTATTCCTGTTGGGAAAAAGAAAATGTTAAGACCGATTCACGCCATAGATATCTATATACACTAGATAGTGCATCTAATTATTCTGCAATTCAAAAATTGAAGCCGTGATTGCAGTCTCAGGTCGTTCCCATGAAATGAGAAGATTCGAATGTTTTCTATTTCTTAAACAGGAAACTTAAACATATTAAGTTAACCCTATTCCAAATACGTTTTTAAACTATTCAAATGATGAAAGTTATTATTGTTTTTAAGCGTTTATGAGCAAGTGGGACGACCAACATGACCGCCATCTCTTCAAATGGGGGTAACCGCTGGAATATTCTTGGCTTCAATTTTACTAAAAGAGATGCACTATCTAGTGTATATACGGGTTGTTTACCATTTACATGGAAAACCCATTCGGTTTGAATTAAATCGAGAAGAGCCTGGAACTGGTGAAAAAATAAATCCATTTACTTTCCGTATGGAATCACCGGAATTTCCATGTAAATGGTAAACAACCAAGATATCTATGATTCACACTATATACACAACTTTTGCCGAAAACTGACTGTGTAAATCAAGCACACAACTCATCTACGACAACATACAGGCGAGCTGTGTGCCTTATTTATTTAAAAGTGTATATGACATGAAATTTCTTATTTCCTTAAACGAAAGAACTCTTTAAGCTGTGGTGTAACTTATTTTTCAGTTTCATGTTTTTATGGTTTGTTCCCGAGATATTTCAATTTGTTTGATATGTAAATGAGTGTGAATATGTCCGCTAATTTATGACGTCACGTTGGTTGCAAGCTCAACTTACACTGGTTATAAATCTGTTAACTTTAAAAACTTTAGATATCTGTTCACGTTTTTCCACAGTGCTTCATCACATTTACCAGTGAAGGAAGTTTGAAATTATCATCTTGGATGATAGCAGTGATATTCAACCATTTTGAAGAGCTTGCAACCAACGTGACGTCATAAATTAGCGGACATATTCACACTCATTTACATATCAAACAAATTGAAATATCTTGGGAACAAACCATAAAAATAAGAAACTGAAAAATAAGTTACACTACAGCTTAAAGAGTTCTTTCATTTAAGAAAATAAGAAATTTCATGTCATATGCACTTTAAGGCTGATTTAAACTGTATGCACAACTTTTTAAATTTTTCAACCATATAGTCTGGTTAAATTAACCTGCAGGAATAGACCTTATGCATAATGACGTCATAAGGCTTGATGCCCGCGAGGAATGCTGGTCTTAATAGTCATCGCCCGGGAAAATTTCGATAGTGACCATTTTGAATTGTTTAATTTTCCCGGGCGATGACTTATGAGACCAGCATTCCTCGCGGGCATCAAGCTTTGTGACGTCATTATGCATAATGTCTATTCTGGTTAAATTAGCAACAATAGATTGAGTGAAAACTGGGTCGAGTGACGTCTGGAAAGACTACGTGTACGAAATTTGCCATTTGCGTCGTTCGTAGCTACATTTGCTAAGTTTGTCGTAGCTAATTAGGTTTGTCGGTTAACCAAGTCAGATCCGAGTCAAATGCCCGGAGTCACTGTTTAGCTGTCTTTGTCGGTTCAATGACTTAGTACCTTAGCCCTATTCCTATTAACTCTATTCGATTGTGAATTTTATTCAATTTCGTCTTTTTTTACTCGCGACTCGGACGTTTGACTCGGGCTCGGAATTGACTCGGATTTGACTCGGTAAATGGATTTACTCCACTGTCACTGGCTAGAAAATGTTTGAAAAGTAGGTATCCGGCTGATAAATCGATTTCATGCATCTAAAGCTTAAGATCGCGCCATGCACATTGTAAATATACCTCCAAACAGAGGACATAGATGTTTCCACGCCTTCACGGCGTTTGTCTGCATCACTTGACCAATACTCATCTCCATCAGAAACACGGGTACCCCAGCCAGTATCAAACACAAGAGATACGGAATTAGGAAAGCTCCTAAAACAACAAAATATTTCCAAAATTCAAATAACTATGCGGTATAAAACAAAGAGAACAATTTGATGTTTCGCTTGACCAATTACAGTACATCAGGCGATAAAATAGGAGTACATAGATACACACATACATGGCTTTATTTCATCACGCTAGCTCTAGCCTCTCTCGCTCAATTTTTTTAAAATACAAGCTGGTTTGGAAATTGAAGAAGTCGAGAACAAAAAGTACGCGCAAGGTATACACGTAACCATTTGCTAGTTTATTTTAACTGCAGTATATTCAAATCTTTGCGGTTTCAGTAAACGGCAGATCGTCTAAATTGATGAAGTGAGGGTCCTCATTGATACCAGTGATACATCACTGAAGAGGTTACCCAACGGAAATAAATGTGGTTGTATTTTTATCCTCAGATGGAAAATTCGTTTATGGTTTTGGAATTTTTAAATCACTTTGTCAAGATCTCTTAGTCTTACTAGGCTAGCTCTATTATCGCAAGGAAAGTGCTGCCTCAAAACTTAACGCTCTCGAAAGATATACTGTAGGCCCTATCAGAAAAAAGCCTCGACACACATTGGGCTATTTCGTATTGTTTAATTAAGCGCTGATAACAATATTAAGCAGCGCTGTTCTTGACTGGGATAAATGCTTAAACGTTTATGGCTTTAATAAATCTTTGAAATAATTAACAAATACATTCTGCGTGTATTGCTTAGTCCTGGGGTAACGCGATCAAATGGAAACATAACACACAATCTGCCTGTTCATTACGTTTGCCAATTATCAGTGGAATTTGATAATAAGATATGCACGCAAAATACCCAGACACACAGACATCAAAACCGACCGACGCAAATTTATATAAATTGCGCGAAAGTGTGGGCCAAGTGAATTCTAGAATAGCAACAAAAGTTTCAGAAATAGATTGATATTTTCTGTAGAGAAATTAAGAGGATAATCTTTTGTATGTTACGTAACACGCGCTCAAAATTAATGAATACACATTACCACTTGGTTATGACCATATTCAAATTTTTCAATTTTTGATATGTTTTTCAAGCGGCAAACAAACTTAAGGGACCGGTCATAAGGTAACTGCTAGGGTGGGCTGGAGTGATTTGGGATGGGCCATGGAAAATCTTTGGGCAGTTTCGATGGGCCGCCAAATTTTTTGTATGTCCACGGCTGGGCCACCAAACAAAACCCATGCATGTCTACTTCAAAAAATAAAGATATTAATAATAAAAGTAAACAAAACTATCCGAATTATCAAATGCAAATGATGCTATTGAAGCCAGTACTTTGTTTTATACAACAACAAGAACTGGTCGAATCACAGCAAATACAACCAACTGGAGAACAGAACAGCTCAGTATCGTAATTGGTGATGAATATGTTGGTCAAGCTTGGTGGAATTACGTATGTCAATACAGTGCCGGTGTATATTTACAATGTTCATACCTGCAAGTTTTTTTTATTATAAAAGTGTATTTTCCCAATTTAGATTGGATGGGTCATGAAAATTTTTTTGTAAGATTAGATGGGCCTTGAAATTTTTATCTACATCCTAAGATGGGTCACCAAACTTATTGGCAAAATTTGCGAGTTACCTCCAGCCCACCCTAGCATTTACTTTATGACCAGTCCCTAAAAAGTATTTTTAGTACTTTGTCTGGAAAATAATGCTAAAATGATGAGATTTTAGATGGTATGCCAAAGAGAAAATAACGTCTGAAGTTCAGCAAGTTTTGCTCATATCGCTGTAGCTATATAGAGTATGGCGTCAATTTTGCAGCATCAATGATATAATTGGGCTAGTATTCCAAAGGTTGTAGGTTCGAATCCCACCGTGGCCAGGCATATTTTTCAAGCCTGCCCGGTGTGGATATGTACTCAGGGGCGCACATCTAAGGAATTTCTAGGGGGGTGTGGGGCCTGTGGGCCACTTGGGGACCGACTTTTTGATATTCAAAAATAAATTAAACAGAAGGGTAAAAACAATTCTGCAAAAACCTCATGCGACAGAACAGGGACGAGGGAATGAATGTGAAACCATGGGGTTAAGTCTCACGAGGCGCCACCATGGTTGGCGCCGAACGCGAAAATTTTCAACATTTAGCCCTCTAGGTCGCCGGAAACGACTATTTCAGAGTCTTAACTCTACCTTTTCGGTTGGCTCGTTCAGGTGTACGAACGAAGAATTAAGAAAATTCATCCCTTATTGAATAGTTCGCTCAATTTCTGCATTTGTTCAATCTGTTCCAGATCAATAGAATCAGATAAGTCTTTTTCTGAACTGAAGAATCAAAACATGTGTATAGGCCTAATTGAGCTCGCGTGTGAATACCAGGACGTGTTTATTAGTAATGTGTATGAGCTGTCATGAGAGTATCCGTTCGCAGGCCACAGGTGCGAAATCGGATAGTAGCAGAGAGAGGGAGACGAGTTTATTTCTTCGAATATAATTGTTACTTTCGTTCGTCCATATAAAATACTGAAAATAATGAAAAATAGAAGTGTATAATAACAACTAGCAAAACAATAAAATCAAGATAATAAATAATCTGAATTAACCATCTAAACCTTAGCGGGTGCGCTACGATTTGACGTTTAAAAATCAAGAAATAGTTTCTTACACATTAACACATACACATACGCTTGTTCATAACATCTTACCAACCAGCTCTTGTGTTGTCGGTCCCAATTCACCGAGTCGGACAGAAGTAAATATTAATTCTTATACCCGAATTTTGGTACCGAGTTTTCGCACAGTATCAAGGATGAATGGGACCGACTTTTAGTGATATTCGGATTCTAGGGGGGGTTTCGCACCCCCCCAAACCCCCACCCCCCCCCTAATGTGCGCCCCTGTATGTACTCAGTCTCAGAGTAACATCACTAATCATTAAAAAAGATAGCTAACTGTGTCAACTACAAAATAAAGCTAAAACAAAGTAATTCAGTTTGAGAGGAATTAATTATTACGCCAAAAATACAAAATGGTTTCAGGTTTTCAACACTTTTCATCGCAAATACGCGACAATGAGAAAAATATGCTTCATGACTAGACAATTAATTAGCCATTTTCCAAAGTCCTGGGTCAAGTCGCGCGAATCCCATGTTGGAGGGACAAGAAATATGGCAGCACACATGCATTTAAATTAAATGTTTAATGTAAAAAGGAGATATTTCATTCTTGGTCGTCTAAAAGTTGATATTTGATAGTATAGATACTTCTACTCTTTCACATATTTGACGCCTGTCATCATATATTTTGTCGCTCCAAACGATCCCACAATGCACTTTGATCTCTTTTGGGAAAAATGCGGAAAAAGCTAATTCCCATTATAGACTAATTTTAAAACTGGACATGGAGATGCAAGTAAATCACTGCAGCTAAAAAGAGCATACCAAAATTAGTAAAATTACAAAGTTTGGTTGCGAAAATTGCGTGCGGAAATTCCTACCACATTCCTACCACATTTGGGCAAAAAATGGTAGCAATTTCCGCACCCAATACAAAAGTATATAAAATTTGCAAACTTTGCAAGGCTATATTTTCCGCATTTTACAACATTTCGCAACCAAACTTTGCAAATGTACTGATTTTAGTATGGTCTTTCTAGCTGTGGTGATTTATTTGCATCTCCTTGCCTAGTTCTAAAATTAGTCTATAATGGGAATTGTCAATTGATGCCGGACTAGTCTATTTGCAATTGAGTAAAATAGCAACAATTACCCTGATCGACCTTTTGGCCTATAGCCTTGCAATACAAAAACATGCCATTACAAAATAGACTGTGTAGCAATTACTTTTATCTGGACGATCTACAATAGCTTTTGGCAAACTGATTTTTATATAAAACATGTGTGGCGCGGTACTGGTAAATGCGTGCACTACATCCTGCTGGTGTCACCTGCTGATCTCATATTTTTTGTCAAGTCATGCTACACGGGGAAAATTTTCCTGCATGTAAACGCAGAATCCCATCATGAATGGACCATTTGCATTATAGACTAAATTTTGATCTAAACAAGTCTAGACAAAAATTTCATCACAGCTTGAAAGAGAGGATCACAAAATTAGTAATATTCCAAAATTTCGTTGCGAAATGTTGTAAAATGCGGATAACATAGCCTTGCGAAATTTGCCGTTTTTCAGTCATTTTGCATTATGCGGTGGAAATTGACAGCCCATGCAATACCCTTTGGGGCTGTCAATTTCCCCTTCAATGTAATAGAAAATGACTGAAAAACGGCAAACTTCGTAAGGCTATATCATCCGCATTTTACAACATTTCGCAATTTTTGGAATATTACTAATTTTGTGATGCTCTTTCAAGCTGTGATGAAATTTTTATCTACACTTGTTGAGATCAAAATTTAGTCTATAATGCAAATGGTCCATTCGCAGAAAAACGGCCTGCATGCATTTCACATCGCAAATGTTTTGAGCTAGGTCATTATTATAATTATTAAATTATTATTAAAACTATATCAGTTACCCACGCTTACCCCTTCGGCTAATTGCAGATTTCCAACGGGGGCGTTTAGATATAAATAATTAAAAAATACATGCAAGGATTAGTGAATGTATCACAAATGTAAACAAGAAAGAGGAGGAATATCAGAGACATGTAGACATAGTTTCGGAAATGGACAATTTAAAAGAATTCAATGATGCGGCATTTTTAAGCTAAGATCGTGAGAGATTTAATTTTGTGTCAACGTTCTCAATGAAAACATGGTTATTTATGAGTCTTAATTTGTGGAATCATTGAATTTTTGACAATCTTTTTCATGTTGCCCTTATGTTTTGTGACATGGCTGGCAACCAGAGGTACCCAGGGAAGCCTTTGACCCGGTCATGTTTCACTCCGTGACTGTCCGGCTTCGCAATTCAGAAATTAGAACTCAGCTGCACATTTAACAGCACAGTTCATACATGCATCCAGAGGTCTTACAGACAATCATATTGAAAATTTACAATCACAAAACATGATAGGAACATTACAAGACAAGGGTACACTCTCTGCTTGACACAACATGCAAGCAGACAAAAGATAAAAATAAACGAGCCGGCTTCAACTCAACTAAGGCCCAGTTTACACGAGACCGGAACGAAGTCAAACCGGGACCATTTCGTTTCGGTCATAGTATTATTTATAATAGATGTTTACATGAGACCGGTACGAAAATAACTCAGACCGGTCTCAAGTCATTCCGCCTGCTGGACCGAGCCGACTGACTTCAGACCGGCATGAACTCAGACCGCGGGATGAATGTAAACACAAATGGCAAATACATTTCAGACCGGTCTCGGCTGGAACTTTGACATTGGAACAACACATGCTAACAAAAGGCATCTAAAACGGAAAATTGCCTGCCAAGGGGAATAAATTGAAAATTTCGTGATTTTCGCACTGGTTGCATGTAAACATGTTGACAGTTTCAATTTTTATTTCGGTTTGACTTCGTCCTGGTCTCATGTAAACGGGGTCTTAGAAACCATTTAAAAAGACCCTTCGACTTTTTGGAAAAACAAGATGACAATAGAAATCCCCATAATAATAAATTGAAAAATTTTTAGTGGGTATTGCTAATTAATTTACTCCATGGCTTATTTTTTTTTTTGTATTACACATTTAATATTGAAAATACCAACACAAATACCAATATATTTAAGTTAAAATAGCTGGCAGAAATTCGATTTAAGCTCAGTCTGTCTCTGGCATATCTCATCCTAAAATTTGTAAAATTATTTTCTATCTATCTTGCCCGGTCTCGATTAGCTTAGGGACCGGTCATTATTTATGGTGGGGGGTGGCACCGAAGAGAAATGTTTTTCGTGACAAAAATTTTGCTGACCCAACCATTAAAAAATAAAAAATTTCATTACCCAACCTCAAGTATCATTTAAAAAATAAATACCCACCCTTGGCCAAAAACGTTACAAAAGGATGTCATTCAGTTGTCACACATGACACAAGTCCTTTACCACTTCCGTGATACGTTTGATAACGTTCGGCTTGTGAATGTTTGATAGTTTGATAACGTTCGGCTTGTGAAATTGACTGACTTTTCTGCAGTCTAAAGTTTCATGTTGTCTGCACATTTACTTTCTTTGGAGACACCATTTGTCTCCCAACAAATCGGAAAATGATGAAGATATAGATTGATTCACATATTCCATGACTGTTGACATTGAAGTTTTCAGTCTTCAATATTTGAGTGAGTCATGCTTTGGAAATGACAATAAATTTTTATTACCCAACCTTTGAGTTGTTTTGTTTTTCATTTACCCAACCTTTTACTCACTCAAAATTTTGTTTACCCAACCCTTTTCTCTTCGGTGCCACCCCCCGCCGTAAATAATGATCAGTCCCTTACATACCTATTTGCAGGGCAAGCTGTAATTTAATTTTTTTTTGTTAAAATAATCACTAAAGTTGAAGTCCGGAATCGTTTTAAAGGAGCTCATGGATGAAGGACCATGCAGTGGTTTTGGAACGTTTTTCCCTCGTAAGGAAGATTGTTCCAAAGTGCTGCACCATTGTAGCCAAAGCACACGCATTTTGCACGCGCAGTGCCGCAGCTAGTAGATGCTAAAAACTGGCTTACTTGACGAGAATTTGCAGGCTTCGAACATTTCATTGCATCGCTAACTCACCTCCGCCATTTTTAAAACACATATAGGGAAATCGCCAAAAATTCCCGTAGCCAACGGCAAAGCCGATGCACGCGAGAAGAAACTCGATTTTGCGACTCCATCGTTCGCGTCCATCATTACCGCTCGGTTCTACAGTCTCGACACCAACCGTCGTCATTCCAACACTTTTGTCTTTGCCCAGACCGTTGCTCACCAAATGTTGCTGTTCGGCCCTTGAAGAAGCGTATATAAAATAGTTTAGTGATTAAATATTTTGTTTGGTGAACGGTGCCACAATGGCGGTCAACTTCAAAGGTTTTCATATTTATGGAAGGGAGAAAATGAATATTGTTCCTATTTGTAGCGATCATAGCGGGTACTTTCTTCGCTTGCTAAATTTATGAACAGATAATTGTTCATCACTTTATATTAATCCGACAACTGCATTACTAGAAATTTCTTGTCATTCATCAGATAGCAACACTCACGCATCCAAAAGCCCGCCTTGATATGCTATCTCAAATTCGTTAAATAATTCATGAGCGATAATACTGCATACCTGTTGAAGTATATTGATCCAGTCCTTGGACCTTGGACTGAATCAAAATTAATTCACCTCACTTCAAGTGGTAATTTATCCGTATGAGATGTATTTTCAAATCTTCCAATTCGGACTGGACTAGATTTCAAGTTCTCGCATTTTGATCCAAATTGCGCGGACGACTTGAAATCTAATCCAGTCCTCATAGTTCGGATTTGAAATATTACGTAGAGTAAACGGAATGTAAATACGTATACATGTACATTGGATTTCTAGAATGTTTTTGTTATTCGACCCAATGTGTCAACACTTGTATCGGAAAATCTGTCTTCACATTGCTGTAGTTGTAAACAGGAAACTTTAGCGAGTCTGGAAATCTTTTGTTCTATTGTAAACGAGGTCTTAGGGGTCGTTCACACCACAGTTCACACTTAGCACACATTGAGATCGATCGAAATATTAAAGCGATGTCGAACCGATCCGAGGCGTATAGTCGTCAGAGCAATCGCGTTTATCCTCTAATTAAGATCGTGGGTTCGATTCTCGCTACGGACTCATGTGAAAAGAGAAAATATTTTTCTTTTTTTTTCCCCATGTACAATAAATTTATGTGTAGTATATTTACAATAATTGTAGAGTGCGGGCTAGAGACCTACTAGAAATCTTAGTAGACTTTTTATTTAGGTCTCTATAGTTATGCTAGTTTGTATTGTGTTATGTAATAAATTATTTACAGTCAATCACAATATTAAAGGAACTATATATATATATTTACAAGAGAGAAAAAGAAGAGAAATTGTTCTTATTATAGAAGTGAATATTTACAAGAGAGAAAAAGAAAAGAAATTGTTCTTATTATAGAAGTGAATACCAATGTTGTAGATGCATTTGGGTTCTTATAAGAATTAGACTACAATATATTATAATATAGCATTTGTAAATTCTGAACGCTGATTGGCTAAGAGCCGTGTTGATATAACTCAATGTCAACACGGGAAATTTTCCGCCGCTTGTAAACACGGAAATTTTTCTTATCTTTCGGGCTTTTGACATTGCAATATT